ATTTGAGCAACATCACTGCAGAGATATGCTGAACATGCCCAAGTTGGTTCAGATATCCGACCTCTTCAAGTAAGTTGGCATCTTTGACGGTGAGGAACGGTGAGTTCATATTATCCTGGTCATAGTCACCGCGCTCCCCATCTGTCGCATACGACTTGATGAAGTCATAGCACTCTTGGTCTTGATCTAGTCGTAGCATCATTGGAGGTATGAGGTCTCGTACGCCCATGTTGTCGGCTCTGCACAGTCGCAGCATATCCCACATGTGATCAAGACCCTCACTGACACCGTCCAGTGTTCCTAATCTGCGGACAGTATCTGCTAAGTCAAACCTTGCACGCATGTAGTTTCGAGTGTTGAGGAGGCCCCAGAAGTATCCGACGTGAGTTTCGAATGCATTAGAGGGTGTCATGTAGTCAGGCTCTGCATATCGAACAGCATGTTCCTCTTTGTTGAGCTTTGTGCGGGACTTCTTAATCTTGTTGCAGATTGATTTGTGCTCTTGTCGATGCTGTACCTGGTGCTCTCGGGAGCAGTAGCGGACCACTTGGCAGCCTGTACATCTGGAAAGCGCAGATTTTGGCTTAAGACAAAGGCTGCAGCGGTGCTTTAGTGGGCCACGGGGACCTTTAAACCCGGATGCAGGACTGTCGGGGTTGGGCAGACACAATGGATGTCCTATTAGGACCATCGTAGTAGCTAGTCAGAGACGCGGGACAACGACTCGAAGTTTGTTGAGGTCCAGCTGGAGTCTCAAGCGAATTGAACTAATGAGCAAGAGAAAAAAATCCCGGGTTGCACGGTTGATCTACTCGCGATTCACCGTTTCAATTTATTTCGGAATGATGTTCAAGGATAGATGCTGGAAGCTTGGCGGCGTGGAAAATAATTGCCGAGCCAGAAATATTGCACTAACTAAATTTGTAGTAGTCTTTTGCTGCACGTGATATAACGTGACCACTGGGCATATTGCTTAATTCAACCTAGCTGTAGTGGGTGCTGACAGATAGCTGGCGTCTGCGCGCCTCTAAAGCCCACAACAGGGATACCCCTGGTCCTCGCCCTGGCACCTATAAATCAGGCCTACTGCAGTAAGGGACCTCTTGGCACACTCCATCTGCCTGTCTCGTCGGTGTTTTCAGATTTCTTTCCTTGTTTAATCGAGAGACAATCAAGGTGTCGGTTCCACAATAAGGAGTCGGTGGCTCAGAAGGCAGCTGTTCGCGCATGTTTCTGGATTTTTTTTCAACAAGCTGCTGTTGGATGTCGGCACCGTCTCTAACCAGCTCTGGAGGAGCGGAACACCCTCCCGCTAGTACCTAACGACACGGCGATTAGCAACTTCTAGGATGAAGAACGACTACAACATCCAACACTGGCTCAATATCAGTGCCTATTAATTACTGGCTACTACTATTTGTTTCATTCTTGAATTGTCTTTGTACTGCCGGGTTCGTATGTTGCTGGCCCTTGATCCAGCGCCAGAAACTTTGAGGATATGTCTGAACAGCCAATCCTTGCCATCTTTTTACATCGACATTCCGACCTCTTCTTGATGCCTCTGCGTATATTGCCCTATCGCACTAAATATAGGAAGACCTTCTAGAAACAACGATATGATTTGACCAAAACCCCATGCATTCTCGTCATCACCAACAACACCCCAATCACAGGCATCGCTGCGGTCTTGGAAGACGTCGTAGACACCAATTATAATCCAAGCATAGTATAATATCGGGCCAAGTTTCCAATTAAACGAAAGAGATATGATGTCCAAGACTATGATCAGCGTTGTCAAAGACACTCGATGAAAAGGCCCTCTGGGAGCGTTGGAACGACAATTTCGGTAGTATAGACGTTCCAGGTGGAACGTCGAATAGAATCCGCCGGCACCATCTGCAAATGAAGTTTACATCGAACATATTCCACCAAGTGTCGGTATATGCAAGCGTCAAGAAGACCGTTGATGCAATCATCCAGTTCATAGACAAACCTCCGAATTCGGTGTGATCAAACAGACACTGGGCAGAATATTTGTAATAGTTATACCAAAGTCCGTTTCCGCTATAAACATCACCCATCAAGAGAAGGACGAAATCAGCCACCATACTGACGAATCTCCATATAGTGAGGTTGAGGTGGTTCTGGAATGTCTCCATGAGAAGGGAAACAGTAACGAGGTGTGAGGACGATGCGAGCCAGACCAGATCTAGGACCGTTTCAGACAGGTAGACGGTGGATTCTTTGCGTCGGGCGATTGGTTGCCGCGCTCACCATGGCAAGGCCAATGGCGAGAAATTGATCAGACATGCCAAACAGTAACGTCTTGATGAAGAATTCGATTCGTGCTCTCCCTGCTTTCACGGGATCTGCACTCTGGTTGACTGTCTGTGTTGTGGAACTTGTACCTGACAAGCATACTTGATCCGCTAAGACGAATCTATCTGGGAAGGTCCGGAACTGCTAGTAATCTGTGTTTGAGATGCTGATGGTTGGTTCACGGCCATCCCTGGTGTACTCGCCGGTTGTAAATTTACTGATACGGCAGAAGTAGTCGCGGACGATTGTATTGCTGTTATGGTTGTGGAATGTGTACTTGACTGTACCAATGGATTAGACTGAGTGCTCGCTTGATTTCGTATCTTGTTGAAATCTCGTAGGTTCAGAAGCTTCTTGATTGACCAGTAAAGTAGTTGATTCAGGGCGCGAGAGCTTTCATAGTTAATATTAGGAATATCATTGGATACTTCTGCTAGAGGCATTCCTCGATTTGAACAGTGACTGTCGTTTTGTAAGTGTCGACGAGTTCGAGATTGATCCAGAGCTTGGGGGCAGGGTTGACATGCGGATCACGCTTGGTACAACATAACCCTGATTTTCTTTTACAGATCGGTGAATTTCTTCTTGCTCCTTAACGAAATCAACCAGACCAATTATTCCGTAGCAGATGGACGGCAGCATTGCCAGAATGCCCAGCAGCAGTCGCAACGAAAGAGAGAAGAACCTGAACGCCATCACCTCACAATTCATCTCCTGCACAGGGTTTGAACAGCCATACGCCGATTCCTGCAACACCAAGATCTAAGGTAATGCAAGTATGGACGTAGCCAAGGTCAATCCTGATTAGTGAAGGATCGCGGCGAGGTCGAGGTCGATCGGGCATTGGTTGGAAAGGTAGTTGACGTAAGAGAGGCGGCGGCGAGATCAGTTATCTGGAACGTTGAGTTATGCACAGGATTGTACGATGTGGGAGACTAGCAGAAACGAACACCAGAGAAATTCAGCAGTATCCTTTTCTGCCAAACATTTGAGCGAATTCGCTGTTTTCCCGAGTACGAAGTCGCTGGCGCAGTCGCTTGTCCGGCGACAGTCCCAAGATTTCGCGCGCGATTCAACCCGAACGAACAAGCATCTATGATCAATGCAAAACCTATGGTAGTTTGACTGCATGCAGAATGACCAGCTCTTTCAGCGTCCCTCAGCGGCCGTGGCAGGATACCCAGGTATGTTAAAGAGGGGACAGGCCATTAAAAGCCCAACATGACACGCTATCCAATCGAGTGTGTGTGCGGCATACAAGGAACACCTAGCTTTCAAGAACCCGAGTAGGCCGAGCTACCCCTGAGTTGCCGATCGGCCGTTGAGAGAACCGTGAACGGCCTGGTTGGTCCCATCCGAAAATCAAGCGAATCCTCGTGATCTCGTACTGTGGCTAGGTATCAGGGACCTACGTAACGCAGTAGGTACAGAGAATTGGAGTAGCTGAATGCCTTGTTGTATATCACGTAGTCCTATTGACAACGACTCAACGCTTAAGAAAAAAAAAGAAGAAGAGTTCTTTCTCACCCGATTCGTGTAAGAGGAAACTCTTATAGCTTCCCCTCTTTTCTGTCACGTGAAAAAGGGTAAGGCGACGTTAACCGATAGCCTTGTCAACTGATAGCCTCGTGCTTTAGCTCTCCTTAGCGTGTGCTTCAACCATCCTTCGCCTTATCCTTTTCTTCCTCTACCACCCACCCGATTCGGGTGGAGAGCGTAGGGTACTTGGGGACAACGATGGGCTCGTGACACTAGGTCCATACGCCAGAGCTAGTATTTGCACTTGTTACGAACACCTCACCATGTCTATCTCGAGCGGCGCTACAACGCCACCAACTGAACTGGCACGTAGGCCAATTAGTTTTTGGGTGCCCACTTTGATCTGCATTGAGAGTCCTCCTCTTCAGTCAAAATATGATGACAGAGAGAGATATCTCGCCCAGCCCGCCCGGGAACGAACCGAGCACTGGAAACAACTTAAGTCTCAGCGCCATAGACACCAAGCACAGCACGTTTCAACGCTCTGTTTGGACGTATTCGGATTGGGACCTTTGAATCTCGATAAATGGAGCAAAAGGTATGTGGATGGATCCCAACCAACCCCAAGAGCTTCGTACAAGGTCAACGGGCCAAACGTGAGCTCATATTTGCGAGTACAAATCTCTGCAAAACCCTTCCCCTGTCGGTGTACGGATATCAAAACTTGAATACGCATCTTGGAAACTGGTGATTCCCCCCTTGGGATGGATATTTCGACATACCGTAGAGATCATACCTGAACCCGACTTCTCTTATCGGCTTTGGCGGTCTGAAAACCCATAAAAGACTTCCCTATATCTCTCTTCATCTACGTTACTCAGTTTGCATTCCTAATCCGGTCAAAGCATAGCGTCCCATCAGCAACAGCCACATTAATGGTAAGAATAGCTTCTCTGCCCCGATGGTCTGAACTAAAGCTGTATCTCATTTACAAGAAACATTCAGGTAACTACTGACTTATCATAGCCAGCGGATTCTTCAAGCCTCGCATCCTCACCTAGGGTCGAATAAAGCCGTTTCAACCACTTTCGGGGCCTCGTACGCCTTAATAGTAATCCTACTTGCCATGATAGTCACAGCAACAGTGGACAAACTTCATTGTGCTCAAAACTAATGCCCACGACATTATTCGGGACTCGACAATGATCCTGGTGACCTATTTTCTGTTCGTGCCATTCCTTCCCATTCCCATCGTCATCTTGGCCATTACTATTTCTCGCAAGACCAGAACCGAAAGGCTTGGAAGCGCCCGTTGGCGGACCAAGGTTACCGTCCTCATTTTATTGGTCCTCCTGTGATTAGGACTATCGTTCAGCGCGTTAACGACTTACAAGAATACACCATCGAAAGACAATGAAGCGTGGCTTGACAGGAAGTGGTGCTTCTACCTTTTCAACTTCACCCTCGAGACGATCGACATCTATCTATATGTACTGCTTAGAGTCGACCGACGATTCCATATTTCAAATGGCACCAGCGGTCCTGGAGATTATAGAGCGGGACAGAGTCCCTGGGAGAAGCCACAAGAATCTGGAGACATTGGTGCTGGTTGCCGTAGAGTCAACTCCGAGGAAGAAATGTTCAACGACCATAGGCCAACAGGACGTGGGCCAAACAAAGATATGGAATTTCCAGTTTGATAGTAGCATATGTCGGAATACAGTTATGGAAACGATGTCACTCATAGGTTTGATGCGATTAAGGGCACGAGGTACATTGTACCATCCAGCCAGCCACAGGAATAACGATGGACAGCTTTGGAGGACAGTACATGGTACTTCGGAGCCAATGAACCACTTCTGTCCAGCTCGTGCGGCTAAACCTGAAGAGGAAGGTGTTGCTACCAAAGGTACATCACTGGGATGCCCACGGCCTGGTTAGCTAGTTGTTGAAGTGTGCGCCACGCAAGGCTTCTATTGCACCTCTCACGAACCTCGATCCCCAACTAAGCACCCGTTCTTTGTGGTAACTTCATGGAGCTGAAACGACCCAGCAGCTGACCAGCGATTCTCGCCAACAACTGCACCAGCCACCTTTCCACTTGTGCCTTTAGCTCTCCTCTTGCTCTTCCGCACACCCACGAGAAGGACACAGTTCAAGACTGGCTAGAGACGTGAATGAATGTGCGGGACTGTGGGGAGATGGGGAAGGTATTTAGACCTCCGCTCGGTGTAGAGACCTCGGGCTCTCAGCTTCATTCCTCGTGGTGAGCTCAAAAGCCACGCCCAAGATTCTGGAGGGTTCAAATTGGTGCATCGAATCTTCTTTCCCTGCCCTACGTTGACTGCGTCGTTCGTGTCCTCGTACTTACCATAATGTCTCTTCCGGCAACCCTTCCTCTGGAGATCGACAGAAATGATGCCCCGGCCGTGGCGTTCCATCAGAATGAGAGATAGCGCCCATAGCGCATTGGATACCTTTGCCGCGGTGGCACAACCTTGAACTTCCGCCAGTGATTGTTGACGGCTTCGACAGCTCACCAGCACTGCATCACCCCGAAGACGGTGGTCTTCCAGGGCTACTTTACCGCAGTCTACAAAAGTTACAACAGCAACGACATTCATGTGACACGGACTATGAACCCTGGTGACGATGGCACCTTCTGGGATCTGTTCCATCTGGACGGCCAGACTACTGATAAGGCCGACCTAGACTGCAGCGTTTTGAACAAGAAGCTGTTTATTGCGTACAAAGACAACAGCTCGGCGCCGAACTGTGGGTGGCAGCGAGCTCTGACTGGAAAACCCGGCGCACACGGCAGATTTACCATGAATATGCTTATGGCGTCGCATTAATGGCAATGGATGGGATCATGTACCTAGCCTACAGCTCCTATGACTGCTGCTTCATGATGTGGGCCCAATCGTCTGACGGTTGGAACTGGACAGCCAAGGGACAGATTAATGGGAGGACACCAACCAGACACCAGCCCTTGTGACTAGAGGTGACACGGTTATCTGCGTCTTCTCTTCTACTGACTCACCGAGTCTGCACCAGTGCACATATGCCGCGCAAGGTGGTTGGAAAGACAGTTGGGAGATACCGGGCCAAACTACCTATCAGGTCGCTCTTGCAGTCGATGACACCAGCGGAAATCTCCTGATGGCATACAGCTCGAATGCCAGCTCTCACTTCTACGCGTCTCAGAGCATTAGATGGGGTGAATTGGGTGACACGCAAGAGATCCCAAACGTAGGGTCGGTGCCATCCTTGACATTCTTCCAAGGAAGATTTTGGTTGTCCTGGTGTGGAACAGACTCTGACCAATCCTTCTGCAACTGTTACTTGTCGGCGGATTTGAATGCCAACATCCCCCAAATCTCAAACCCAACACAAGCCGACCTCATGGCCCATTCATCCCCAGACTACTTTCTCAATGTCACCGAATCCGTCCAGTCCGGCCAGCCTCTAGAGGATGCGCCGATATAATCTGCGGTCCAAGAAAATAAATACAAAGGAACGATTACTATCCAGTACATCTTCCTATATGCTTACCAGCCCGGCCAGACTATCTGCCTGCCCGGCTTCACTGCTCTTATCTGGAACATCGGCTATCACCAGGCCGACGTGGAGCATTTTTATGTAACATTGAAACCGGATAGCAGTCAGCCGGATGGATTTGCCAAGCAGGAATTTAATTTCGAAGTCGACGGTAATCCCCACCCTTTCGAGGCGGATGAGGTGAATCACGAGGATGGGCCAGATGGCTCCCACGCTGGTAAGTATTGTCCGGCTCGCAGCCGAACATGCCCCTCTTGCTTCGTGCGATACCCATCGATCTTTCCATCATCATCGACAGACCTATCTTCGATACGCTGACCAAGCTCGTAAATTATAGTGGCCTCCGGTGCCCTTGCTGGACACGGGATCTGGAATCGGAAATCATTCACGGGCGACTGGGTTACGCAATTCTCTGCAAATACGGTGCTGTTTGGCGAGCTCCAAATCGGGCCCCTCTTTGATTCAGGCACAAAACTAGACCATATGTGGCGTCCATGGGTAATGCAAGAGAGCAACTGGAGACATCTTGGGCTCAACGACAAAGGCTAGCCGATCAGCGATCAGCTGTGGACAATGTTCCAGGGCAGACTCGGAATATCGGAGTCAAAAGCCTGCATGGAGGAAGTTATCCAGACGGATCAAACTTGAATTCCGGGGATTGGACTGCATGTAAAGGCGATTTCGAGGTGGCTGATTTGCTGAATAAGATCCAGGGTAACTACCTCCATGCGGATGGACCAGGCGGACCAGGGATTGGAACAGCAATGCGATCCCGGTAAGTCGGTAAAAGGGAGTTCAGACATCGAGAAGCGGAGGATGCTGAGCAGCTGGTCCAAAAATCGACTGGCTCTTGGAGGGCAACTTAGCCGAAGATTAGTAACAAAGTTTTTCTGGAATGTGACAACCAACCTCAAACTTCGAATCCGCATTTCGACGCGTTCTTCTAAACAGAGAACATGACAAGACTCAGAAAGATTTTAAAAGTCGCCTTGAGCAACGTGGGATTCAAACTCTGAGTTATATGCCGGGGCCACTCTCGCTTCCTTCACTCCATCGATAAGATCTGAATCACGCTAGCGAATTTCCTTCAGCTCTGCTTCACCACTGCCTTCACGCAATCTGGACTCGAGAACGGCTCATTCCAAATTTGGACTTCCTTTAGGTCGCGCGCAGTAAATTTATCTCTCTGATATTGTGTTCCCACACCTGTCCCGAACGGCTATAAAGTCTGGTTTTGTGGATAGAATCCAGCCCTGTCCTTTGCGGCCGAAATCGATTCATTCCCACCCTGGTGTCCATGGGTCAGCGGCGCGGTGACCACCTCACACACACACACACAGAGGGAGAGAGAGAGTTTATCAGTTCCTTCTGCAATTCGCGGCCGGGTTTTGGGCTTTAATCCTACAATCCAAAACTTTGTCATTCAAAGGTCGCACAAAGCATCGCTGTCAGGACTTCTGTGCCATAACACCACAACATGGCGCCTCGTCGATCCACGGCGAGGACGTTAAGTGCGACGCCTGTACGTGCAACTTCACCGGCAAAACGCTCGACTCGTGCGGGCAGTGCCATCGCCACCGAGGATGTCATCTCGCGGCGAGTCACTCGAGGAACTTCTCAACAACCAAGCCTAGCAGATGGTAATGTCAACAACCCGAGACTCCCTGAAGTGCAAATTCAGCAGTCTTATGCCTATGGATCTAGCAAAACTCCCGTGCTACCCACCCAGTTGGTCGCGCGCAGGAGGATGAACTTGCGGGAAATGGCCGAAACCATCGACGCAGGAGTCGAACAAGCGCAGCAACATCTTCAAAACCATATCGAAGAGACTCATGCAAATCTGCAGAAGGATTCTCGGGCCGAAAGGGCTTGGCGAAGAGCTTCCCGCGAACCTTCTCAGGATGCCTCCGTGGCTAGCGATGAGCAACAGCGGAGTCAACGGGTAGCAGCATGGGCCAGCTCTTTGGATGATAACAGCCGAAATGGGATACCGGAAGAAGGTCAAGAAGCGGGAGAAAGAGAAGAAGATGATGAAGGCGAAGGCGAAGAGAGCGTGGCTCGGAGCACCCCTGACAATGATACCGACAAGGAAACAGACCCCTCCAGCTTCCCCAGCGGGATATTCGATCACAGTTACAATTACGAGCGGGGGATCCGAAAACCAAACGTCACAATTCGAGAACGGCAAGACTCATGGGTTCAAAAAGCGTGGAACAGCAGCAAAGATGCTGTCCAGCAAATCCGACAGAGCTCATCAAATATCTTGTTTTCGATATCAGACTGGTCCACACGATTATTGCGGGTCAGTGGTAGAGCAATCCGAGACTTCCCAAATTCGCCTCTTGTTCCCATCATGACCAGCATTGTTTTCGCTTTGCTTTTCATCGGCGGAGCAAGCCTTCTGTTATGTTACACCTACACTAATTTTATTTGCGAACCTCTATCAACTTCTCCTGTTGGCCTGACTCTTCAGAAATACTGCGGAACATGCACACGGAGCCCGAGCGCGGCGACTCTCAATCTCACAGTCGGCAATGGAAATGACCTGTCCAAACTCACATCGGCAATCAACAACATCAACCAACAACTTCGGATCCTCGAAACACGATTAACCGAAAAAATCGAGACACAATATGCAGCGATTGATAATGACGTTGAAGCCCTCAAAAGACAACATTCAGAGTTGTCAAGTCACATAGCAGGATTGAAAAAGGGGGTTGGATCGAGAACCTTGTCTGGCGATGTTGCCTCTCCGGTCATTCCCAAAGTCAACTATTTCTCACCCAATAACGGAGCCATGGTTGAGCCGCGACTAACTTCGCCAACTATGCAAAAGCCGCTGACACTTGCGCGCCGAGTGCTGTTGCGAATGCTTTTGTCGACGCGGTATGTGACCCGGCCACCAATTACAGCTCTCACTCCATGGCAAGATGCGGGAGATTGTTGGTGCGCCTCAGCTGTGCCCGGTGACAACCAAGAACAAGGACATGAGACGCTGAGACTAGGCGTGAGAGTGATAGAAATGATCTATCCCACCGAAGTGGTGATTGAAAACTACCCCAGCGCTGGTTCTATGTTGCCAGGGTCAACTCCCAAAACCATCGAACTGTGGGCCGACTTTGAACAGCTGGACAGTCTCGAGTGGGAGAAGCTCAATATCAGGTCGATGCAAGGCGTGACGGGAAATCCCTTTGGACCAACCTACGCACTGCTCGGCAAGATGGAATACGACGCGTCGAGCGAAGCGAGTCATGTCCAGTCATTTCCACTGGACGTGAACCAAGGCTCGTTGGCGTACGGGGCGCAAAATTTCGTGGTGAGGGTGATTGGGAACTACGGCGCGGAGTTTACTTGTTTGTATAGGGTTAGGTTGCACGGCGTTCCGGTTTTTGGGCGCGAACAGGGAGACTCATGAGGGCCAGAAGGAGCTCGCGAGGTTTTGTGGGGATTGTGACAAAAAGTATTCAAGGGGTTATTTGTTCCCTGTCCCTCGCTGCAGAGGATAGCATGTCGACGGGTAGGTTTGGGGCAGGGCTTTGGCCCGCGGCCTTGTGGAGAGCACAGTACGGAGGTCATGGGCCTAAACCCAAAGATTGACACGTCGTTATGTACTACCATGCCTCGAGAACAGCCCAATTGAGTTTTCACACCAACAGAACCAGCAGTTGTCCCCAAGGCATTGGATCATTTAATTAACAAACAAACAAGGAACAATCATTTTCTTACATTGGAGTAAGATGGATGGATAGCCTTCCATAACGGGCCCCAACCCCCCTTTCTTCCCCAGCCTTACACCCACAGAAGAGTCAAGACCACCTAGGTATTTACGCAGTCTACCTAGGTAGTAAGATTGACTGACTGTCTCAGAGACAGAATACAAATACTTCATTCGTTGGAAGCCAGATTCTGTTCTCCAAGTCGCAATCGTTCTGAGTAAACAAAAAAGGGATCAGTCCTGTACCGTATTATCTTTATTATAACAACTTGCGTCGCCAGTCATAGATGTCTATCTATCTTCATTACGGTCATGGCAAGTACGTAGTGAAACACGAAACCCGGTGAGGGAGGGAGGGAGGAGAGGGTGGGTCGTCAATCTACCAAAAATTAATCTGCTCTCCCTTTGTTTGGGTGGCCCAAGGCTCTCTCGACGTCTTGCCCTTTTCTCCATGCGGCTTCTTCTCCGGCGGATAATGCCAGATCAAATCCTGAACGTTGCCTTCGAGCGTCTCGCCCGCTGGACCACGCTCGACCCAGTCTTCCTTGCCCACGTCACGCAGATCGGCCAGGGTGTCGAAGCAGCGCAGGATGGTGTTCATCGGCGTAATCTGGCCGGGAAGCAACTTGTCCAGCAGGCCCAGCGGCAGGCCGCCGGTGTCGACAATGGCTGGGCAGACGGCATTAATGCGCACGTTGGCCTCGACCGCGGCTTCGCTTTTGCCGAGCGCGCGCACGAGGCCGATAAGGGCGTGCTTGCTGGCCGTGTACTGAGGGATGGCCGGGCTGGGGAAAAGCCCTGCTCCAGACCCGGTAACGACAATCTTGCCACCCGGTTTCGGCTTGCCAGCCGCTCCGCTGAGGGCTGTCATGTAGTGCGCGGCAAGCTTGATGCCATAGTATCTGTACATTTAGATCGAAAGGTTAGTCACTAGGAGCCCTTTTCACTGCCAAAAAGAAGGGAAGGGGAAGGGATGCCAATGCTCAATATCGCGTACGTTCCGGTAACATTGACGGAGAAAGTGTCCGTGTTCGGCTTCTTGGGCGGTTTGTGCATGTCGTAGGAAAGCGTATTGAATATGTCGTCCCGGTCATCGATGCCCGCGTTCAACGCACAGAAGTCTAGCCGCTTACCCCACGCGTAGGCTTGTTTGAACATGTCGGCCTGCTGCTCCCAGGAGGATACGTCGGTGTGGACGAACAAAGTGCCCGGGAGGGAGTGCTTTGGTTTGTGGATGTCTGCGATCACCACGTTCCATCCCAGAGAGATGAGGTGTTCGACAAGGGCTGCGCCGATGCCAGACGCACCACCTGTAACGATGGCGATAGGGGTACTCATGGTGATAATGATGACAATGATGATTCAGCCAAAAGAACAGGTAGATTCGCTCGCATGAGAGGGAAGAGGAAGACGGAAGAAGATGCAGATATTCTGTTCCCCCATCCACATGCTAGTCCACTCATTGTATTCGAACGTCTCCGGTCTTCCGACACCCGGTCTAGGAAGATTGTCAGACAAATCTACATCCACTACACAGAATAGCCGACGGATCGGGCCTATATTCAAGCGGGTGACGGGAATGATATGGTGTCATTACAAGCCTTGGCACGGGCCTTGTGATCATAGAGCGATTGGTCTCCTGAGTCCTATACAGCCTCGTGTAGGCATTCGATAGATTTGGCCTTCTGCCGCGACAAAAACTTATGATAGGGGATATTTTACGGAGCAAGAAGAAGAGAGAAAAGTCTGCCCCGAGCTCTCGAAAGAGAACTGCTTTATCGCGAAATTCGTTGCGCGAAGTACCGAGTACAGGGGGGCCATGGGGCCATAGTAAATGAAGTTTGGGTCTTCTTGGAAGTGACTGAGAGACCCAGGAGAGAAGAAGAATGACTCGGTTGATATGTTGGCGCTCCATCAGATCCCAGGCAATACTAGTGTGAACCAATAAAAGGGGACTCTGTGGAGAATGGTGAGCCATTATTCTCCACCAGAGGTGCTTGTATTCAGGATATAGAGAACAAGGACGGAGTATTCGGCATACTCTACATAGCTTATTACTAAAGTCTACCAAATATCCCATATTAGAAGATCAAGTCAGTGGCCATACCTAGAATCTTCACTCCAAGGTCATCCTTTAAGCAGTCAGAGCCAGGGGGGGAAGAACACCAAGGTCACTCGTAGATATCTCTTCCCAATGTTCCCCTTACTCCAGCCCAAACGGCCCAAACCATCTGCACCGTCTCACAATATTCCGGGGAGTCTGACGGGATGTTCGTCTTCATCTGGAGCTAAATTTCAGCAAATAAGATACGAGTCCGTCAACACAAGATCTGCATTACAGCTTGATTCAAACTTATCCGACCGTCAAACCCTTGCTTTGCCCAAGACACTCACCTCGAAGGAAATCCCCGAGACGACAGAGCCATCATCATGAGTGCGCGAAAGAGTCTGTGCATTCGTGCCCCGAAGAGGGACGAAACCGATCAAGTGGGCAATGAAATGGGATGTTTCGGAACGCGTATGATGGAGTAGATGTTTTTGCTCGAAAAGGGGCGCCAAAAGACGACTATTTCCCTCCAGCACTCATTTCCCATGTGGAAGACATTCCCACGACATACAGCTTCTTGTTTACTTTGAGCTATGAATGCCCTCAGGCAGCATGGGAACAGAATCCGCGAGAAACTGATTACATCCAAGACTGTAGTTGCTTTCATTGGCGTGCAAGGCCCGAAGGCCAGTGCAAGTGCCACAGAGTCACCAGAGTCTCAAATTTTCATCGACTCCGCACAGTTCCAGTCCCTGTTCCAGTCACGCCCATCAGACTTCGACCTGCATGACTCTGACTCCCACCACTTGTCCTCAGTCACCTTAATCGACACCCTCAGAAGTCAGCCATCTCACGCTCAACCTCAGATCACCGTAAAGCGCGGCCGAAGGACCATTGCGCCATCCCCTCCACCTACACCTAGCGAACACAGACTCTCAACCTCGTCGGTCCCTGCGCGCAGCGTGCGAAGTGCACCCACCCTTGAACGTATTTCGCTTCTAAAACCCTACAAATTCCGGACGACTGCGCAAGAGGAGGGAAGGCACAGATCAGAAAGAACACACATACCGACCTTGGTGGAGGCGGACTTCCAGAGCCTGGCAAAACGAGCAATATCGAGTACAACCACGCGGTTGATCTGCCCTCCACGCCACAGTCAAACTGAAAATTTTATCCTACCAAAGACACTGATAGCGTCTCCTGTTTCCTTGCCTTCTACCCACAGCGTTGACCAAGGTTTACTTGTCGGACCCTCTCTGACCATCATACCATCAATGACGTCCGAGGTCTCTTCGACTTCAGTGTCAACCTCTACTCCCGCACAACACAAACCTCTGGTCGTCGGCCGCACCAAACCTCAGCCGGCCACGATGGATCCGTCATCGAGTAGCGGACCTATTGACAAAGCCATCCCCGCCGAGGCAAAGGCAGCCCTCAACCACGAGATCGCCGAGAACGTCAAATCCAATACCTCAGCCCCCGCACCCGTAGAGGGCACCACCGCCAACAATAAAAAGAAAGAAAAAGCCCCCAAACAGCCCAAACCGCCGAAAGCGCCCGCTACACCGGCAGCACCTGTATCTCCCGCCCTTATCGACTTGCGAGTCGGCCACATTCTTCGCGCGATCGCGCATCCGAATGCTGATTCCCTCTATGTCTCCACCATTGCAATGGGCGACCCCGAAGGGACGGAACATACTCAAGTCGATGAGGAGACGGGCAAAGTTGTGCGGACAGTATGCTCAGGGCTGAATGGATTAGTACCCTTAGAGGAAATGCAAAATCGAAAAGTCGTGGTTGTGGCGAACCTGAAGCCTGTGAATATGCGGAGCATCAAGTCTGCAGCGATGGTACTGGCTGCATCCCCGCCGATGGAAGAAGGTGCAGATCCGCATGCCGCCGATCGCACTGTGGAACTAGTCAATCCTCCGGAGGGAAGCGAGGCCGGCGATGCAGTCTACTTTGAGGGTTGGCCGTATGGGGAAGGCAAGGGTCCTGAGAAGCAATTGAATCCCAAGAAGAAAGTGTGGGAGAGTGTGCAACCGGGCTTCTTCACGAGCGAGGAGTGTGTCGTTGGATTTGATGCTGGAAGACCGGGCGTGGAGATTGAGGGCGACAAGGAGAAGAAAGGGTGGTTGATTGTCGAGGGAAAAGGGAGATGTACAGTTCAGACGCTGAAGGGGGCTGTCGTGAGGTGATGGTCCTGTGATGTCGAGGCAACTGGCCGGCCAATCCGGTTCATAGAGCCTTACAGGCATCTCGAATTAGGTGGGAAGACACGAACGAATGCGCCATTCTCGAAGATACGGAAGGCACCAGTGACATTCACGCGGTGTGCCTGATGGAGACGAAATGCTTGATGAAGGCTCCGGAAAAAGGACCGATGAAGTAGAGCATAGAGCTGCATTTGTTGCATTGATTGCATTGCATTAGCGAACTCAGCGAGCAGGACAGACCATCCTCTCTCACTCTCGCCAAACTGGCGTCGCCGGCTATGGTTTAGGTCGGAAACAAGAAACAAGAAACCCGTTCGCTTGAAGAGTCAGAGCATACCAGTCCCAGTCCCAGTCCCAGACTCAGTCCTAGTCCTAGATGCAGTCCCGGTCCGAGACCCAGAGCAAGATAGCTGCAAGGCAAGGCAATGCTGAGGCTAGGGGGACTGAGGATATTCCATATAAGGCCGAAAGGGGTCTCTCGACACATTTGGTTTGTGGCGTGCGTTTCCGCGTTCCGCTTTCATTGATTGTAATTAATTTGCGAGAAAGGCCAAAAGGTATCGCTTACTTAGCCAATGAGATTCGTATCATCCGTAGGTCCTCTCTGGGCCTGATCGAGCGTTCTCATGGCTTTTGGGCACAGCTGATGCACATAGGAGCCATGTAGTAAGGAGCATGTCAATGCGTCATCGGCCTCGCAAGGGAAACCTCGCCCATGGATATTAACAACACCCTTTGCTCTCGCTTCGCTCGCTTTGGGGCCCCGGAAACCACCAAGGGCCCAATGTTCCTGTCGATATTCCATCTATACATGATTGCCTGCTCTTGTCCAGGCACGATACATTGTTCGCCTCCCCGAGATCGCTTCATTTCAACAATACAATCAGTAACACCAAAATAACAATCAGCACGACAATGGTAGTCGTGCCCCAATTCTGCTTCGCCCGTTCCCCTACACCCTTTAGCCGTCTCTTTGCCCCATCCAGCCGACCCTGATGCCTGTCAACTCCCCTGTCGACTTCATCCAGGAGAGCGATCTGACCCTCCAACTCGTCGCCCACCTGCATGGCCAAGTGACGTTGACGGCCAATAGACTCGCCCAGCCGGTCAAGCTGCTCGTCTTGCTCGGCGATGACCTGTTGGTGGTAGACGTGGATTTGTTGATTGTCCATGCTTTCGGTGGGGTCTGGGGTACGAGCGCGAGAGTGCTCCTCGTCCGTGTAGCGAGCAGGGAAGAGGGCGGCGCGATTCGCCTCATCATGGGCATCGAGGGATTCTTGGGAGGGGTCATCGCGGAAACGGACGTTTTTGGCAGCTTGACTCTGTGCCCCCGCCGCATCTTGTTTCCGTAAATTGGAGGCTCTCTGTTGTTGCGAGGCATCGCTGGGTTTCCGGGTCTTTGCGCGTTCAAAGTCTTCTTTCAATGCCGGATCATTGGGTGAAGAGAGTGTTTCTTCGGTCGCTGTGGAACTTTCTCCGTGAAACTGCCGCGACAGGTCATTATATTGACTCCACAATTGTGTCAGCGATTCGTCTTCCGGAGAGCGGTTGGAGAGGGCTTCGATGCCTTCTCGGAAGGATTCTAATGAGCGGGCGATGTTGGAGTCTTGCGAAGGGTTGAGATCTAGGTTTAGCGAGATGGCGCGCTGGCGCTCAAGAAGAGAGAGTTTGATGTGATCGGCTAGGAGAAGGAGTTGGGATGGATTGGACATTGCGAGGTCGACTGAGCGCGCGGTTTGAGGCGAGGTGTTGCGGGGGTAATTGGATGTGATAGCAGGATGTTCCCGGGTTCGATACCAAGGCAAGGGACAGAGAACGAGAGATTGGACGAGGATCGTGAATGTCGTATGTAGAGAGTGTCTCACAGAGTGGGACGAATCGCATGGGGCAAGAGGCTCTTTTGTATAGAGCGCACCCTTGGACGAAGTCAGCTGAAGCCTGTTTTCCTGGAAGAAAGAAGAGCAGCGGAAGTCCGGGGCAAGTAGCAGCAGCCGGCGAATGAGCGTGTAGGCGGAAGGTGCACCTGCCAAGCACCAGGCGCCAGAAGAGCAGGCTGAAGGTGGGATTCTAGGGTCGCCCGAGGGTCGCCCAGGGTCACCTATGGTTCCCCTTGGGTGTGCCCCTCCCCTTCCACTTAGGGCCTTAGAGCGAGTTGAAGGCCCAGACCCAGGAACAACACCTGTCACCCAACCGCCACCATCATCAAATCCCGAGCCCCGAAGCGACGAATCTTTTCTCCACACGTCGTCTTCCGATTCACTTCCAACAACACACACTGACTTCAACCAAACAGCGCCCTTTCTTAAAACATGCCCCTCTGGCTGCCGAGTGCGAGGTTCTCCTCTTTCCTCCCTCTAGGTTGTCGTCTCAATCCTGTCAATTTTCAAAATGGATGATGGTGATGATGTGAGATACCCTGGCGCCCCAGCCTACGGCTCTTCCCCCTCACCGAGTCCGCTTCAGTCGCAGTTCGACACCCTCTTTGCCGAGTTCGCTCGCTCTCGTCCCCGAGTCTCACCTCCGCGATCTCCTTCCTCTCTATCCCACGAGCCGCTGTCTAGGGACGTTGAGAAGAAAACCATAGATCTCCGCGCGCTCGATTATGTGGCCGACTATGACGGCAATTTAATGTGTCCGATTTGCCACGTCCCTTTCATCGAGCCCGTTGTCCTCGAATGCGATCACACATTCTGCGACTCATGCCTGAAAGAATATCGAGAAGGAGTTTCTAACGGGGCCCGCAATCAGTGCCCTTCTTGTCGTTCCTTCGTGCTGTCGACTGCCCACAAGGCCTCCCGATTGATCATCAACATGTGCAATGATATCAAAGTCAAGTGTCCCAATGAGGATTGTGAAGAGGTCGTCGCACGAGGCTACGTCGAGCGCCACGCAACGAAAGAGTGTCCGCATGAGCGACTTCAGTGCCCGGATCAAGACTGTGGGAAATTGGTCAAACGAAAGAATTATGTGCCGGAACAGTGCATCCACACCTCCCACATTGAATGCGACTGCGGCGCCGTTATCGAACTGGGTAAAGGCGATTGGTTGAGACACAAGGATGAAGACTGTCCAAATACGGGCGTCAAGTGTAAGCGGTGTGGCCAGAGAATTTCGGCCAGGGACTATCTGAATGGAATTACCGGCCATACCTGCGGTGGCGACGAAGATCACCTCTGTCCCGGCAGAGGATTCGGCTGTACAGACACTTTCCATCCCGATGATCGCGACCATCACGTGAAGACATGTCCGTTGGCTCGCATGGCGCCGTACCTCAAAAAACAGTCGCAACTGCTTCAATCTCTCCAGGAACAACTTGCTATGGTTAAAGTTCGAAATGAAGTTCTGGAGGCTGGCTTTGACAAAATAAACGACATTGTCAATGACCGTGTCCTTCCTCATATAGGTCCTTCCGACCATTCTCAGGCTGGTGAGACTTCGGACATCGAGGAGATTGAACGGGATCACATCCCGTCAGCCATATCTCACCGTGATCTTCTCATGCCAGCACATCTTCGCGCCTTGACACCTTCCCCAGACCCGGAGGCTTCCTCCATTTCTCAAACACAACAGCACCTCCTTGCGTTGCACGAATCCTTGCGCGGAACCGTGTCGAATCTCGAACATGATATTTCAGCAATGTCCAATGCCCTCACAGATCTAGACGCTCGATGCTCAATGCAGATAATGAACGAAACACTAAGAATAAAAGAAGAGTTAGCCCACACCAACGCCGCATTATTCAGCACCAGATCACAAGTGCAATGGCTTCTAAACCGCGAACGAGCAGGCCAGCAGCAACAAGCGGGGCCAATGCGTGGCCGCGCACCATCAGCTCAGCCTCATGCGTCGAATACAGCGTCTTCAGCGAGGAGCTCAGTTTCCGAAGATACCAATGAGCCCGGTCATGGATCAAGTTTGGAAGGTCAGCCTTCGGGAAGCGTGAATCTGGCGGCAAGTCCAAGTTTCCGACCTCAGATGCGAAGGCTCAGCGGCAGCCAAGAAAGAGTCAAATTGTGATACGATTGCAACGGGTTGCATTCAAGTCTGCAAACAAATACAACGATAGTCTGTTAAGGCGCAGAATTAGAGAGACCTATGTGAGAGGTCATATAGTAAACATACGTCAATGGGCACTCCAACAGGGTACATGCTATCTCCTCAGGTCTATTCGCCTTTGCCAGCAGACGCGCCGCCGAAGAAAAAGATGGTATGGATTCCTTTGCCCATAAAGTCGTCTCGGACGCTTATATGCCTTGAACACCCAAGTGAGAACGGCGTCAACTTTGATATTACAGTGGGTTCCCCACGACCTCCTTATCTTCGCGAGCCTTGCCGATTCGCTTATTTCTCGCTTTTTGCTCGGGTGGACCTACTATTTGCGGGGTGCGGTCTTCTGCGGCTTTAGCCTTTCCCCTTCAGCATCCTTTGCATCCAGACCGGCCCAGCGAGCCCGCCAGTCAACGGGCAGATAATTAGAACTGGGATTGGTTGACTGGAAGTGGAAAAGGGAGGAGGGGAAGTCTACCGCGAGCGAGTGTGCATGGTCTAGGTTCCCAATATCTGATAAGGCTCCGACTATTCGGTATCTTCGCAAGACTTTTGCGGTGGAGGCAGGGGGATTGGATCAACGGGGTGCATACTGTATGTCCCTGGATGGGGATTGATAATGAATCCATGACCTAAAGAGACGCTATATGACCATGACCGTGACCATGATTTTGTTGTTATATAAATATATGTATATACACCTGTGGGTAATCTATCCGCGGTCCAATGTCTACTATTCCTTCTCTGAGGAAACGGGGAGAACGCGCTGTGTAACCGACAATATAACATATATTTCTCACCTCTCGATCTCCCGATCCTCCTTCTTTTCCTCCCCTTCGCATGCTGAAATCCATTTGTCTCTGCAACATTAAATCACAGACCACAGACTACAAGCCTGAATAAGATAAAAGGTGAAAAGAAAACGGGGACGAACTACGCGCATCCCCATCCATCCATCCATCCATCCATCCATCCAACCGGAGATAGTATACATCTGTCTGTCTATCGAGATGGGCCACGGCAGGACTCTCGAGTATCCCAAGACGCCCGTCAACAGGGTCAATCGGTATAATCAGCGAGGTAAGCAAGTCCGCAGCGCAAACATGTGTGAGCCTTCCGAGTGAGCGAGCTAGCGGGGGAGAGGGGGGCCAGGGGGCAGGAAGTCAGAGGTAGAACGTGTATCTGTGTTTCTGTGCCTGTGTCTGTGTGTGCAAGAAACAACTACCCCTGGAGGTAGAGGTCGCCAAAAGAGGAATCTTTCTTCTCTCCTGGAATTCGATGGTCGAAGAGACAGACAGGCAGCTTAGATGTCATGTTGTGGTCGTGGTTGTATTCCTGTTTGCGAGGGACATCTCTTACTCTTTTCCCCCCCTCTTCCTCCTTCTGTCGATGGCGCACCTGTATTTCGAGTCCCCTTCACTTTCCCTCTCTTGTGCCCTTCTTTTTTCCGCGCGCTTCCAGAAAAAAGTATGGTCTAGGTATTGTCATCACTGAACTACATACTCACACACTCTTGTGATACACACAGCAACATACGACCTTGAGCAAATTCATACCATCATCAACACCAGCACGGTCGTGCACGTCTCGTTCAACACGCCGGACGCGTCGAATCCGTTCCCCGTAACGCTACCCATGGTCGGCGTGGCCGCGAGCTTCGAGCACCCCTCGGCATCGCTGGCCGAGCCGCTCGACGTCTACCTGCATGGCTACGTCAGTTCGAGGCTGATGAACCTGTCACGCAATGCCGGGCCACAGAATTCGACGTCGTCGCCTCCTCCTACAGCGACAGACGGTGATGGAACGACGGCGCAGGGATTGCCCGTCACCATCTCCGCCACGCTCGTCGACGGCCTCGTCTTGACGCTCACACCCAACACGCACGATGTCAATTACCGTTCCGCCACGCTGTTTGGCTACGCCAGCCTGGTGACGTCGGTCGAGGAGAAGGTCTGGGCCATGGAACAGGTCACGAACTCGGTCGTGCGCGACCGGTGGCGCCACACGCGAGTTCCGCCTGACGGCGCGGAAATGCAGAGCACGAGCATCCTAAGGGTCAAGATTGTTGGCGGCAGCGGCAAAGTCAGGGTTGGCGGGCCGAGAGACGAACTCAAGGACTTGAAGAGGGAGGATATCAGGGACAAAGTGTGGACCGGTGTTATTCCGGTGTGGGAATGCTTTGGGGAGCCGGTGGGATATAAAGGAGTTGTGCAAGGGGATGAGAAGGCGAATCGAGTGGAAAACGTTCCCGAGCATGTGAGGGAGTTTGCAAGGGAAATGAGGGAGCAAAATGAGAAGTATGCGCTGGCCGCGGTGGTGGATACGAGTCAGGATTGAGTGCTGGTGCCTTTTCTTTCCCAGACGCAACGACGGCGATGGCAATTCCAGTCCCCCTTGAGAGTCCCCTCCAAGTGAAGCAAATGCTGAATTGGGAGGATTCGGGGCGTCGAGAGATGTAGTCGGTTGTTTAGCCGCCATGATAGAGTATATGACTTGAGCAACGAGTCCTGATTCCTTCTCACGCAGCCCCGATCGAGGTGAGGTTTCAATGGAGACGATAGCCCATTGATCAGCGTGGCATTCAATTATCCCTTGACTCGTGCCCCTCCTCTTGAATGCCCCGACAACTCCCGCTGACTTCTGCTATGTAAAGAGGGAAGACTTGTGAAGAATTGAACCTGGCGAACGGGCAATCTTCTGGAAGCTCTTCCTCCTCGCTTGCTCCCACATGTCGTGTAACTCGGAGGAATCCGGTAATTGGAAGAGATGCCAATCAAAGCGCCGTCGAGGGCAACATGCCTGAATGGAGACCCCGACCCTTTGCCCCTGCCATCAGATCAACCCGAGGAATGGGAGGAATTGGGAACACAGGCAGCACAGACAACTTGCAGACCACGCTTTTTTCTTTGGTAAGAGGTGGAAAATGTGTCTTGTTTGTGTCAACAGTCCCACTGTTTCAAAAGGTGCTGCCATGAGAGTGCCGGGCCGGTTGTATTGGAAATCATATCCTTCTGTTCAGTTGTCGATCCGAGGACGAGGGTTGACCTTTGCCCTGATCCTATTTACAGGACAAGAAGGAGTTGTGATCCCTTGGTTCGTGATGATCTCGGAGGCACTGAATGGCGGACAGAGTCGGCAACAGCACACCGTCTCCCATTGTCTCGTGTGCGTGTGGGCGTGTGCGTCGGTGAACAATGAAGGAGCTCTGAACTCTCGGTTTGACGATTTGAAGGGCTCCGCATCCTAGGCATTCTGCCATCACCTCTCCATCTCGCCGTGTCTTTACAGTTCCTCACCAAGGCAGCCTCACCGCCGCGACACCAAGTCATGGCCTGATCCTTCATCTTTCTTTTCCTAGTTTCTGGTCTTTCTGAGCTGCATGTTCTTCCGTCTCTCATATTTCCTTTCCTTTCCGGTTTCGTTTCACATCCAACTCATCCGTCACTCCTTTGCATATGTCTCGTCATAGAGCGGCAAACGAAAATCGATTCCTCTACTCTTCAAACGGCCAAGTCAGGTACACAAACAAGCCTGGACGCTCTAGCTCACCACCTGCAGTCAGTGTATTTCGGAACGATTCAACTCAAGGGTACCCGTCCGCCCACAACTCCACGAAAACCTAGGCGTGTCGTTTCGCAGCATACCGGTCAATGCCATCATTTCGGAAATTCAAGACTGCCACGATGGACAAATTTCGCTCGGGTCGCAAATGGCTCAAAGGAAAGCTGCGAGGACGCCTCCAAAGAACTCCCAAGGAGAGAAAAATCGTCATTGTAAGTTGCTGAAGGAGCAGGGCGATTGGATGCAGAATGGAATACTGATATGCACTGCTCAAAGGGACACCCAACTGATTTCCGTCGCGAGAATATCACTTTGGGGACAGACGTTGACGGGTACTTGACTCCAAACGCCTCCCTCCTACGAAACATTTGCTGATATATGACCCTCAGCAACACAATCCTCGTGGAAAAGGCTCGAGAAGACGCCCAAGCGATGTACATTGCTTCGAAAACACTGCCACCCGGCAACACCGCTGGAGAGAAGGACAACAGTCACAGCAACAGGACTGCTCAGCCGCGCGCAGAATAGCTACATATTGAGATCCCACAAGAGAAGTCTCCAGATAGTCGACCTTTTCGCTCGTGATGGCGGACTGTAGACAAAATCCCCTTTGTCCAGGGAGCTCTCCGCTGGTCAGCGTGTGGTTTTCCGGCCGTCATGACGGGCAATAGCTTGGATAGACCATGCAAATAGGATAACGTACAAAGTCTGGCGCGAACACTAAATGATGAACATTGGCACTTCCTCGAGTCGCGATTTCTTGTCCTTTACCTTATCTGTCATCCCTTTCGACAAGGGTTTGCCAGCTGATTGTGGTGTTGCTCTCGACTTGCGTCCATCATTTTGAGATCCACTCACGGTTGCAGCCGGGCAAGAATCATCGAGGTCTACAACGAATCTGTGCTTCTTAGGCCGCTCTTCGGGTCTGCTGTGCACTGGAGACTGTCTGCGGTCTAGGACACTGCTGTTGGAAGCTCGGGATGTCCACGTGCTCCGCAGACCGTTATGTAGAGATGCCTTGTTTCCGATTACACGGGAGGTCGAGAGCCGGTCGACATTGTCTCGTTTTAAGGATGAGTTTTGCGCAATATTGACTTGGTCATGGCCATCTTCTTCCGCGTCTCTGATGTTTTTTCTGTGGCTCTGACTTCTGGCGAGGCCCATGCCGGCCTTTGTAGTGCTCGAGATTCCCTCCAAGCCAACAAGAGACATCTTCTGCTGGCCGCTCCTCGCCATCAGCGGAGCGAGACTGGTGCCAGACCACAAGTCGGTGATCTTGTCTTCATCTTCATCATCTTCGAGAGTCGAATTTCCGGCGACTCGTCGCAAAGTCTCCTTCTGCTTGTTGTGCAAGGCGGCGGATCTGAGCCGTCTCTTTGTTTTCTCGGCCATGCGCGATGTAGGTTCAGGAAGAGCTTTGGGGGCTGCTTCTCGTGCTTGCTTGACGAGTCTCTTGTACTCAGCATGATGGAGATGTGCGGTATATGCCTGTGCTACCGTTTGAAACTCGTCCTCCACCATGATATAGATGTCGTCGCCATCGTACCCCTCTCGCATGAGCCTGGGATAGCTGTCAAAGAATGCTCTGCGAGCCGAATTCACGCACTCACTCTGTGGTTGGAGGCCCTCGAATAGGAGAGGATGAAGGTGTTCTCCCTACCCAGCTGTCAGTGCAGCACATTTCGCCGCGTTTTCTGGAGAACTCACGACTTCGGCCCGTCGTCGAAGCAGTTGCCTTTGAGGGACTATCCAGGTCAGCTACATTGTCGGCCGACCTTTCGCTGCGGGTTGGTGAGGACGCCCGCTCGCGCTTGATACGAGGCGCGGGGATCACTCGTGCTTTCTTTGCTGGCGGAAGATGGTCCACCGTCCATGGTAAGGTGCGCGCCATTTTGGTTCTCGACAGTTACAGCCTCGGAGACCTTGATATGCAGGAGCTCAAGGTGGGTTTGCCCGTTGCGGGTTGCATTTCCTGGAAAGAGCTCTAAGCATGTCTGCCTCCTTGGTTGGAGCGAATTTTGGAGGCAATGACCGGGGGTTAAGATCGGGGGTTAAGACTCGAAGCATGAATAACTGGGTTCCAGTGTGTGGTGAAGCCGCAACCGCCACTGCTGCCAGATGGCCCCACTCTCTACTCGGCAGCTTACCATCTTTTCGTCACTCCCTCCTTCTTTTAAGAGTGAAATGATACGAGTAGAACGAGCAGTTGGCTTATGAATGAAATGAATCCTAAAGAATTGGTAACGCAAGATTTTTTTGATATAGGCAGACGCAGTCTCGCAGCCTTAGTAGCATCTAACCAGCCGGAGGGTATCATTTTTCACTCATGTAGAGCGCCCATAACCCATATCAAGCCGTCAACTCCAGGTAAATGTTCTCTTTTATGATCTCTTCCATTGACCAAAGAATATGTTGTAGCAATGTCTGAAGTCGGCATGCGCCATCCATAACGCGTTCAGTCCTGCTGACAGAGTACCACCGTTGAAATGGCCGATGTCCCTATTCATCAAAGCACTTATGCCTCGCCCGGTTTCTTTGAATTGCAACTAACAATCTTGACTTTATCGGCATGGAATTCTTGACCGCCTTCACTCTTAAATCGGACGTCCTTCACAAGAAATGTCCACACGTCGTCGCAGAATCGGTAGGTTTCCAGGTGTCCCTATAGCGAATGTCAGTAGGTCCGGGTGGCTCATCAGTTTTCGATGCCGACCTTGAATGTCAATCTCGATTTAACTTTCTCTGCGAGTGTCTCGGCGATTGCGCGATCGAAGTTGCTGAGGATCTTCATGGCCAGTTGGGGTTCGATTCGGCCATCATTGATGAGATCGTCAATTGTATCGATAAGCGCCTCGCCGATACTGCATAGTTGTGTCAACATCTTCTCCGGCTAGTCTCTCAGGGTGCGTCATTCTACGATAGACGCCATAACATCCCAACAGGCGCCGCATGATACAGGGAAACCTACCTGCTTCCCCGGTACAACTCGTAATACTGTTGTGTCGTCATCTCCGCTGCTTCTGCTCTTCGTTCGCTAAGAGTTCGGGTCCTTTCCTGACAAGAGCCGACGGCCGGGGGATCCTCTGGCGACGAGACGGGACGGAGGTGAGGTAAAGGCGAAGGTTGCAGGTAATGGAGGCAAGCAACGGGGAAGTTCTGGGAGGTGGCCAAGGATGACTTTTGGAACGTCCAGTTAAGCGCCTTATTGGCTGGAACAAAATATCCGATCTTGGCATCTACAGTACATTGCACGTCACTGCTTGACAGCTCTTCATTTAGTTGTCTTGGTTGTCACCCCACGGGGCGAAGATAACCTCAACTCGAATGCGCACCCTTTCATGGCCATCTCAGGCTGGAAGAGCCTCCTCCTCAGTTCGAGTATACGCGAGAATGAAGCAACGAGCTCTATCTCTCTCCGCGGCCTTTTACCGTGGCCGACCGTTCGTCCTGAATCATGTGCTGAGCCAGAATCGGCTCACTTCTTCTTCAGCCAATACTAAGATGGAATCTGGGACCAAATCAGCCAATACAGCAGGCTCATCTAAAAAGAAAGAAACACTGGAAAAACTCAAGAAATCACACAAGAGCATGGCAGAAGCCGATGAGGAAATGCGGCAGGCTATGGAGAACCTTGCAGGAGATGGTGGAGAAGCTGGACTTGAGCTTGAAGACGGCAAGCCCGTTACCATGAAGAGGGGTGTTCGAGAGAACATGTTCAGATACATCTGAGCGTCCTGGCTCAATTCACAAACGAAGACATCTGAGTTTGCATACCGCGATCTGTTAAGACAATGTTGGTGATGAAGCTTAGGGAGCCGCTCATGTTGGGCTCGGGTATCGTGCAAAGTGAACAACGCCCCAATCGCTAGAGCCAACACATCACCAAAGAAGGAAAGCGCCATCTTAGCCATACAAGTTGTTGATATCATCAACGAGAGCGTCCACGGAGCTGCCGCCGGGACAATCATACCACTCCCCACCATCACGGATGCATCGCACCTTTCCCGCGAGCCTGACTGTACAACTCCTTGTGACATTGTTCTCTTGACTCCTCTCGATGCTGGCTCGAAGCAAATCGATTCCTTCTCCTTCCTCGCTGATGCACGAATTGAGCTGCTGGAAATCAAGACCGTGTTCCATGGCACAGCTCTGGACAAGGTCTCGCTTGGGAATGTTGGGGTAGTCGGTAATCATGCAGTTTGCGAATCCAAGCCAGAGTTTGACTTCGGGATAGACTTTCGCAGCGCAGAGGAGGATGATGTTGCCCAAGCATTCGCCCGGTCCATGCTTACACGAAACCGCGTCGGAATTGGGATCAACGCTGTAGTTACGTGAGCGGCGGTCTGATTTTTGGCCAAGTGCAAGATAGCATACCTTCCGATGAATGACATTGTGAAATCCACCTTTTCATTGGCTTGGATCATTGTTGGTACAATCAGCTCGCGCAGGCAATCCCTTGCGTCGGGACATTTGGACATGACATGTATTTCCAGCGGGACTTTGCTCTCTGCGGCCTCATCCTCTACGGTAGGTGTGGGTGTCCGCCATAGGTGCGGGTGGTAGTGGTGGTGGCAGACGAAGGCGGTACGAAACAGGGAACATATCACCAGTATCGTCAGGATAGCTGGGATCAGTCGCCTCACGAGGTAACGTTGTCGAGGGTCATGCTGTTTGGGTACAACGCGAGCCGCAGACTCGTATGCCGGGAGCTTTTCGTCGGAATGCGGCGGTTGGAGAGCCATGATAGATAGATACAGGACTAGTGTGAGAGTGAGTTGGATGGCGCTCGGTGGTTTCGCGAGTTCCGGTCTTTTTTGAGATGAGGGGAGGAGGCGCCTTGGCGCATATGCGAGCCTGCAAGCAAGTACATAGCGGGAGCAGCGGGAGTGCAGGGCAGTGGCAGGCACCGGTTGACGCCCCGGAGTAGTCCGTCATTATTATACCCAAGTTTGGGACGTATCGAGCTATGCCTCTAATGCGAGATCTTTGGAGTCAGTGTCGCTTGACGCTCCTCCCGAGATGTTATGACAAACGTGCTTGACAGATAGATAGCAGCCCGATAGACCACTTCTCACAGCTCAATACCTAGCTCGCTCCCGAAGTACGTCCATCCAAGGTGCAAGTACCGAATCCTCCGGTCTGGAAAGCAGCAGCCGTGATTGCAGCCCAAATTATGCAAGAAAGGTGGCCAGATCAAGCCGAGGAGACCTCTCGACCTTTACGTACACATCCAGAATGACTTCATCACCTAGGGTCCCCAGGGAACCATAGCAAGCTCCGAAAAGTGGTGATAGCCCTACCTTCCCCCTTGCGCAAGTTAGTACCTACAGTAGGTAGCCATGTGGCAGCCCGTCTGGAGTATATCAGAGCTTGATCAGAGGTACCTGGTAGCCTCCACTGCTCCCAGTAAAATGGCCAGTCTAGCCTCACTAACCCCCCTTTCCTCCCCATGCCCACCCCTCCCAAGCCTCATTTATTAGCCACCACCGCGTTTGTGCACAAAACACCTGCTGCTGTTGGTCTCGCTCGGCTGGGGCCTGCCTGTGCGCCTAAAGATGCCCTGAACCCTTTTTTTCACACGCTTGCCGATTCGCACTCGAAAACGGCTTGAGGCTGACTTTTCCCTTTTTCCCTTCTTCAGTCCCAGCGTCACATTCCGACTCCCCAGGGTCACATTTGATCAACGAGATATAGCGATCGAATCCTGTTCTTTACGGGCACGGTCGCTTTATCCTGTGCCTGTTTCATCTATGAACCTTCGCTGACCCGCTACCGAAACCTGATCATCGAACTGACACTGACAAGCCAAAATATCTCAATTCCCCCGACGTCTGCTGCAAGGCCACCTTGAACCGTCCTTTTACTCCGATGCTGACCGAGTTGCCTCGCACGTGAACGTACGGAAGTATCGACTTGTGCGGCATCCAGCCACTTGAGTTTGCGACATCTCAAAACCGTCCACTGCCATGTCGGAGCAGGCCTCGCATCGGTCGGCCAGCAATGGAAGCCCGCCGCCTGATGATCTCGAGCATGATCTCGATGCTTTTGTTCAGCCACTGCTTATCGACGACAACCTGGTGCACAATCTGGCCTACAAGTTTTCCAAGGTCTATGGAGAGTTAGCCTTACGCTCCGAAGAGCAATTTCTGCCTACCCCGGTAACCAAACTGCCCACAGGACAGGAGACGGGCCAATTTCTGGCCATCGACGTTGGAGGCACTAATCTGCGAGTGGCATTTATCGAACTTTTGGGCGACACGGAGGAGCTGCTGCCTACAGCCAATGGAGTGGAACGGTCACGTGAGACGATTCGCAACGCTCAACGTCCTCGCGTGCGGCGGACCTTGGAGAAGGCTTGGCCCATTGGAGAGCATTTGAAGATGGATAAGACAGAGGACCTCTTCGCCTGGATTGGCGACTGTATAGCTGAGGTTGTGGGGGACCGGTTGACTTCAGATATGGGCAAAGTGCCCGTTCCAGACGAGCTCCCGATGGGCATCACTTTCAGCTTTCCCATGATGTAGGTCCGACTCTGCATCCAAAGGTTCAGGTGCTGACACGCGAATCCAGGCAAACAGAGCTATCGTCCGCGACCTTGATGCCCATGGGAAAAGGTTTCACCATCAGTTCTGATCTTGATCTTGGATCTACTCTGTTGCAAGGCTACGCCCGCCACACTCGCCGCCAGTCTCCCACAGGCTCGCCCCCGAAGGCAAAGCGGAGAAAGCTCGGCCCGCTCCCTCGGCTGAAGATCACGGCCATCACCAACGACACGATTGCGACTCTCGCTTCACTGGCATACACTGTCAAGTCCCTGCCGAATTCTCGGGTTGTCGCCGGTATAATCGTCGGAACGGGATGCAACGCCACTATTCCCATGAAGTTCTCCAGCTTGGGCACGACCAAAGTCGAACCGATCAGAAAGAACAAGCCTCACGCTACAGAGACGGTCGTGAACACAGAGATCACAATTGCTGGTGCTTGCGCGCCTTTACAAAGCATTACAACTGAGTGGGATCGTCAATTGGATCAGGCATGTGCGCGACCCGGTTTCCAGCCTTTGGAATACATGACCGGAGGCCGATACATTGGGGAGCTGATTCGCATCATTTTCTTTGATTACATGACGCGTGCCCACAAACCACCGGTGCCGGCAGCCTCTCTTCCCGCGACGATTGTACACAGTTATAGTTTTAGCACCACGTTTGTGAGTGCAGTGGTTGCACGGGCTCGGTCAGATTCAGAACTGGCTGGCGAATTGAAGCGCCGCATCCCCCCTCCGGAATCTTCGAACTGGGGGTGGTCACCGCATTCGGCGGGCGCGCTACGCAAAATTGCGCAGATGGTTCAGATACGATCCGCCGGGCTTATTGCTGCCGCTACAGTCGGGCTCCTGGCTACCGTGGGCGAAATCGCATTGTCAGAGCCTGGCAGTCCTGCGTTGCTTCCTGACGGGATGGTATTGGCCGACAGCAAGCCAGCGTCACCTAAGTCAAGTGTCCCTTCTCTGCCACAGCGTGACGCCAGAGACGGCCTTTCACCCGCTCCCGGTGCAACAGCCTGGAAGTCAGGACCAGAAGAATTGGTCATTGCTTACACTGGTGGAATTATCCAGCACTATCCCAACTTCAAAGAACAGTGCCAAAGGTTTATCGACCGGTTAGTGATGAGAGCAGGTCCTCAGGACGGCGGCAAGAGTGTGTTCTTAAGAGAAGCTCGGGATGGCGGCATCATTGGAGCCGGCGTCCTCGCAGGCATGGAGACTCAAGAGCGGGCCTTATCATGATGATTCGTCTCCTTGATGTGCGAGTCTTCTCGTTTCTTCTGGCTGCCATTGCGACTTTGGCAGGGGGCGGCAGAATGTAGGAAATTGCTTAACTTTCGATCGACAGGAGACATGCGTCGAGGATTCGTTGGGAAAACTCTGGGGGTTGATAAGGGGATGTGAAGTGAAGCACGCATGATGCAGGACGAAGCCCCTGCGTTTGGGGAGCTGTGACAGGACCTGCTGGGCCGTTTAAGAAGGTTAGGGATCGTGATCGGTAACCGAAAGGGGATTCCTCGATTTGTCACGGAACTGCGGAGGACTCGTACCAACACTCTCGCGGAGTCTAGTGGTGATGGCGCATCCTCGCGCACACTCGCACACAGGCGAAAGGAAAATTGGCCTCACGGATTGGGCGTTAAGCTGGTGCCGAGGCGAAGCTCAACCTCATACGTTTTTAGCCGGAGGATCCAAGGACCAACTTAGGATCGGCATCAGCAGGGGTCCCCGCAACAGACCAACAGCACCAACGGCATGATTGATGGCAAGAAGTAGCCACAGCCGTGGGCGACTCGGTGGTGCTGAATGCTGGACAAACCCTTGAGCCTTTCTTCCTCTGTCAGAAAGAGTTGTATACATATGTATATACATACTGCCAAGTTATCCTGACATAGACTGCTCATGGGGGACGGGGCGGCTGGCCGGATAATCAGCGCATTGGTGATCACATTCTATGTCATCATCCGCGGATCATGATCGCACGAGTTCTGAACGGGATGGATGCCCTCGGTGGCGACGATTTGAACGACACTTCGGAGACCTCCAGCTGTTCACAACAGCCACGAGACACGCCACGAGACACGGCGAGATGGTTGCATCAAGCTTGGACCATGCATTATGTGCATTTCTTGCCCTAAATGGGCCACATCAGTGTTGCCGAAGGGAGAGTACTGTAGGTCTCAGG